CTAACATCTGTGTACACACACACCCCAACTGTTAGAAGCAAGAAACTTTCAGCTTATATACCGCCATTACACTAATACTGTGCAAAAATCCCCCCTCTTTCCTGTTGAAAAGAAATCCAGTTCACCAGGCCAACGTTTAATCCTTTAAAGCCTATTGCTTCTTATGTGACCCACCTGCTTTAACAATCAATAACTCAAGTAGCTTTTGTTTGTGTGTTTCCAACGATTCTTAGTGTTAACAGGGATTATTTTCTTAAGCGGTATTGATTAGTTGATCTTTGTAACGTTGAAATGTTGTATTTTCTTTGAGGTACGGGCTGAATGCTTAAATATTCGGGTGAACTTCGGCTTTAAAGGTATTTGTGGTATGGTGCACACATTTTTCTCTCACATACCTCTTTCGAAAGCAATGTGTGTGAACAGACATGTTAATTGATAAAACGTATCTAACTTCAAATATATAAACGTTTTCGTAGTTAATCTGCTACGATGATCAAATACATTATACAGTGTAATTTACATTTGTAAAAATTATATATATGGTTGACGCCGTCGCCATATTGACATTTTTATACACGCAGCATTTGTATGCATGTTATTTTGTTTAATTTTTTATATTCATTTTACTTAAAAGTGTGGTTAGTCATTTACGTTATCCTAAATATAAAGCAAGTCCAAAGTTCGATCGATAGTCATACTGTTGTTCCGTGTTTCGTAAATTATCATAACAATGTTGCACAATTAAATATTTTAAAATGTAAATAATAATTCTAAGGTTCTCCTACCTCAATATTTCTATAAACATCCTAGTGTCACAACTCAAGTGAGAATTCAAGAATATGTTCTTCATGTAACCTCCAGTGAAATTTCTAGCTAGTTTCATAAAATTCAAGCACTTTATTGAAATCTGTTATGGATATAAAAAAATAATATACATAGGTCCATAAAACATGTTCCCTGCAGAAACACACTGGATATTCCATCTGCATATGAATATGCCTTGATTACTCTCTCTTCGTTGTTACAAAAATATTGGGTATGTTTAATTTAAATCTTGTAAATTATAAAACATAGCATGTCTTTCGAAATTTTGTATGGTGACAAAACAGAAGCAAATTCTGTAAGACTTCCTTTATATATCGTATTAACAGCTCCATACATGTGAATGGTCTTATTAGATTACGTCAGGTTAGTATGTGATGAATTTTACGTAATTTATCATGTGCGAGTGGAAATTATGCACATAAATATTTCGTTACTTGTATAATTACTGAACAAGCCTGTAATATTAATTTATCGAACTACAATTATCCATTCATTGGGATTAGGCCCCTCTAACGGATCCAGTTCAGGAGTCACAATTCCCTTGAAAAAGGGAGCAGATTCAGCACCCAAAACAATTTTTCTTTTTGTGGAACATGATGGACGAAGCTAAAACAATTTAGCAATATCAACTGTAAACGTACTAATTCATGGTTTGTGGTAACTTCATGACATTCAATGTAACATATGAAAGAAAGCATTTGTCATAAATTTTATTAACTTATAATTAAATACTAAAGGGAACATAACAAAATTTTACATAGCAGATTATGAAGATTTAGGTAATGGCCGGAAACTAAAACCATACCCAACTGGTACATAAATATTTCGTCTGCTGGTCTATTTTATTTGCAGTTGAATGGGTGTGAGACTAGAATGACGACAATTTACAGCTCTGCTAAGATCTGCCCCATTACTAATGGAACATGTGATCTCGCTACAGAGGGCCTGTCACTAGATCCAGGTGAATGAATATTCATTTAATAAAATTCATTTATATATTTATGTTATAAATAACAATGCATTCCAAAAATCATTAAAACAAAATGGAACGCATTTTGTATGTACGATGGGGATGTTTTAAAATCTTATTTATTTAAATAACATCTGTCAATATTAGCCGCCAAATTACCTACCTACGTATATTAAGTACAGAATGGCAATAATTTATTTACAACATTTCAAACGAAAAAGAAATTGGAGAGATACTGAAAAACGCATTAATAAAATTAGAAAAAAATGTTTTGTTCATTTATTTTATAATAAGCTGCAACCTTAAAAGTAAAAGTGAGTAAATTCTACTGAAGGAGTGCAATATACCACAAAGTAGGTGATAAATAAAAGTCCTTGAGATATTCCAGAATTTTTACACCTCTTACTCAACACAAGTTTCATTACAGTGTTCAAAATAAACTGTCACCGAACTGTATTCTGAGACAGTTAAATCCAGTCAACACCTTATAACAACGTCTTTACTTAAGATTCATTTCTACATTGCCATTCTTTTTTTAGATCCAATTTTCTCCTCAGTATATTGTTCTAAAACAGTCTACGTTCTTGTCTTATCTGAGGGCGAGAGTTCACGCTTCTTGCCTATATAAATCCCAAAATACTTATTCTGAGGGCAAACAGTTTTTTGTGAAAGATAAAAACAGCTGTTACCATTAAAATATAAGCCACTTTTTGTAATTACTTTCAAATATTTTATTCCCATGTAAAATTAAACGTACTACAGAGATGTTAAAATCAGCAACATATCCATTAATCGGCAGTGCAAATGGCATAAAGACGTGATTTTAGATTTGTGCTCATGAGGTTAGGACGAGCCAATAAGTACCAGCTGCTTTTTGATGTATACATGTCAATCAAATCTGTGATGCGTTTCAGACCTTGAAGGAATCATGTCTACATCCCGAGATTACGTAACTTTGTTGTATACATGGTTCATGTGGAGAGAAGTGTCAGGCGCCAAAATGAGGGAAGATTACAAGAAGTATGTGGAGCTGAGCAACTTGGCAGCCAATAAGAACGGTAGGCCTACGTCCAGCTGAAACTTTTCTGTCACAAATATTGAATCCGATACGATTAAAGAATCTGAATGATTGGAAATGTTATTAACATCTGCAATCATGGATGTTTGTATGCAGCTTTGCCTCCTAAATGACAGGAAGGCAATTCTTAGCGCACTTCATAATACTTTGTAATATGAAACACGTAATAGTTTGTGGGACAGTCTTTATATAAATATCGAATTCGAAGACCATAAGCAAATGGAGGGTTTTAGGATCAGCGGTGTTGTACCTTACAGTTTCACCACTATAAAGTCTACTGGTAACTATTAAATAATAAGATTTCTGTCTTCTGGGTTGTTACGCCGTGTAGTCTGGTAGATGTTAACCAACGTTTTAGATGTCATACTGCCTCCGTCATCAGGGCGATATAGTAGAAGAAAGAAATCTTCATACTCTGATGACGGAGGCAGTATGACCTCAGAAACGTTGGTAAACATCTACCAGACTACACGGCGCAACAACCCAGAAGACAGAAATCTTCATACTCACCGCTGTGAAAACCTCAAATCTTACATTAAATAATAACATTTATGATAAATTTGCATTATTTCTCAAAATGTTCATCTTGCAACAGGAGATTATGATTGTGTTTTAGGCTTTAGTGACAACGGAGAGATGTGGCGATACGAGTTTGAGTCGGAAAATTTTGTTGAAGACATGATGAAGCTGTGGACGCAGGTGGAGCCACTGTACTTGGAACTACACACGTTTGTGAGACGCAAGTTGAAGGACTTCTACGGGAATTTTATTAGTGACAATGACAACTACATCCCGGCGCATCTTCTGGGTTTGTCACTAGGCTAATTACTGTCAACTAAGTTGTTCTAGTTTTACTGAACCATGTCCAGTGACTTATTCTGTGTTGTGTTAGCAAACTCAACGTGTCTCTCTTGTTTATTTTGTTTCACTTCATATCCGTTGCAATGCGACAGTAACAGAGTTTCAACCCTTTAAGGCCCAATGGTAATGAGATGTACCACCTACTTCAGAGATCAGTAGAGATGCGTGAAAAAGTAACCAGCTGTGAAGCTGACCAGAGCTTTACTTCTGTTACAGGCAACATGTGGGCTCAGAGTTGGGAGAACATTTACGATATTGTGAAGCCTTTCCCTAATGCTACCGGTGTCGATGTTACGAAGTCTCTCAATGATCAGGTAAACCACAATCCGGTTTAGCTGTTGTTCCCTTTTCTTCAAGTAGTACAGTATAGATTTCAGGAATTTGTAATAATTTTTTAAAAATGTTTGATTTTTTTTATCAACTCCTGCTCAATGAACAATCATAAAACTGACGGCTATGAGAAAGAGCCGATTTCATTGGAAGGCCTAACATAAATTTTCAATTATGTATGCTAATGTCTAAAATCTGAGTTATTAACATTAATTTGAAATTCTGACGTCCTTAATTAAAATTAAAAAAAATTGTATTATTTTTGTATTATGTAAAACATTTCTTTTGTGTCTCAGACCTCGGATCTCCAAAATTCAGTGACATGTTTTTATTTTCAATTACGTGTACTCGTATTCCAGGCCGCATTATGTGCTGCATAAAACATAATGAAAGATAAAATGTTCCAGATATCTGACTCAATTTTTAAACTGAAATATCGGATGAGTACTGCGAAGTAATGATATGAATGGTATCTTCGATTGACAAATTCTGAGCTGATTGTTCTACGTGTAATCGTTACAGGGTTATAGACCTCTTAAGATGTTTCAAGTATCGGACGAATTCTACAAGTCTCTGGGACTGCCAGAGAACAGCATGTCGTACGACGAAAGTGTGGCACTGATTGAGAAACCTGAGGATGGAAGAGTTGTGGTCTGCCACGCCTCAGCATGGGACTTTTGCGACAGGCGTGACTTCAGGTCAGTACTTTAATACGTACTCCGAAGTCGCTGGAAATCGTCCATTGTCGTAGTTAATACACGTAGCATTTTGGGATTTGATTCTATTACCACCTTAAAGCGAGCGGCTGTTAGCATTTAAGAATAGTAACGAAAATATTCCAAATTTGACTACGACCGCTGCCATTATTATGGGAAATAAATATGTCTCTCAGTACAACGAAAACGAAGCACTTGAAGACAGCAGAATTGCAAAGTGTCCGGAAGGAAATTCACAAATTGTAGGATGTTATAAATCAACTTATAGGAAATGTTTTATTAACATGTGTCTTCTTCTAAAATAGTTGCAGAGTTATACGTGTTTGAATTTCATAAGGTATTAAATTATTGTCACAAATGTTCGAAAGCCATTGTAGATTTAAGTTGCGCTTTTGACAGTTTTAACAATTAGCAGATTTATAAACATTTGTGTTGGTTGTTGAATAAGACCTCTTCACCTCTTTAACTTCGAACACTCGTAACTCTGTAAGCGTTTGTAATAGGAATGAAAAATTGTTTGATATTATCTCCATCAGTTTGCGTACTTCCTCCCGAAAATCTGTGTATGCACACATACGTAAATATGCGTAAAAATTTGTTAGTTACAATGTCCAATACAATTAAGTATAAAAAATGAATCATAAAGTTCGCTACGTTGTCATTTGTGCCTTCTGTTATTAATTTTTTAAATGTTTAAAACAACAAGAAATTAGTGGAACAGTGTAGCAAACTTAAGTTTAAAGACAAAATCACCTCTTCAAATAAAACACAGAAGCTGTGAAGTATTCTGGGTTATGACGCCTGTACTTATCAACGTTTCGAAGGAACTTGCCGCTCCAATCTTCAGGGTAGATGTGAACCCTGAAAATAAAGACGATTGTTTCTTCCGAAATGTTGCTACCTCCTGCAAAAATACGTGACATCATAACTCACAAGAATACGATACACATTTTGAAAGCCATAGAAAACTAAAATCAGATGTAAGAATTTTGATGTTCACCTTCGTGTTTTAAACATAAAGCGAGGTGCTGGGTTTTATAATTTAACGGAAGTGGTATTATAAACCGTAAAATTTTAGGAATAAATTGAATTGAATTTGTGGTTCTCACGGCGATGAAAATGTCTGTGATGGTCTTCTGGGTTGGGACTCCGTGTGGACTTTCATGTGGATACCAACGTTTCGAAGTCTGAAGATTGTGGCAGTATGCCCCTCCGAAACTTAGAAACCCATATTCAAGTCTACACGGCGTCACAAACTAAACAAATTATTTGAACAGGATCAAGATGTGCACTAAAGTGAACATGGAGGACTTCATAACTATTCATCACGAGATGGGTCACATCCAGTATTACATCCAGTACAAGGATCAGCCCTATGCCCTGCGGGCAGGAGCCAATCCAGGTATTTAAAGCAGGAAATGTACAAGTTTCTGTGATGGGTAGACGATGGTGTGCATTGAGCGTGTCGAGATTCTAATTCACAGGGATGTGGCATGTGGAAGTACCGTTCATTGTCGTTGGCGTAAGTGTGTATGACGTGCGACTCCAAGGCACGAAGAGATTCGATTGGACATAATCAAGGACAAGAGACCTCGGTAATCGCCGGGAGCGTTCGCAAGACAACAGTCATTTGTTTGACATGAACAAAGTCTTAAAGTTGTTATTCCAAGGCTAAAGTTAAAAATATTCAGTCTTGGAATGCGGTTACGATACGTAGAAAAATCGTGTATAATAATTCGATTGAATTCATCTCCTTTAAATTTCTTTATTAGAGTGTTTTCTAGCAAAAAAAGAGCCCATGACAGGCAAAAAATAATAAATACAGGCATACTCGAAATTTTTGGTTTCCCAGTGCATATAAAAGTTATGTTTACACTATACTGTAGTCTGTTAAGTGCGCAATAGCATTATGTCTAAAAAAACAATGCGAGAATTTACCAAAATGTGACACAGACACGAAGTGAGCACATGCTGTTGGAAAAATGGCGCCGATAGACTTGTTCGAAGCAGGGTTGCCACAAACCTTCAATTTGTAACAAAAAACGCAATATCTGCAAAGCGCAATAAAGCGAGGTATGCCTGTATATACATTAAACAAGAGTAAGTAAGAACTAAATTACGGGCATATGTATAAACTAAAAATTATTAAAAGTGAGAATTTTAAATTTGCGTCCAGATAAAGTATTAAAACGATTTTAAACGTTTTAACCCACAGATAGATTATCCAGAAGCAAGATGTGTATGGTTCTCAGTTTCATGAATGTAAATAGTTTGTAAATTTGTTAGTAATTTTTAGACTTGTCCAACATGGTGTCAAAAAAGTTTGTTAAACGCAAGACACGTGGCTGGGCTTTAATTTAAAAACCTAATGATTTTCAATACTTCAGGTTTCCATGAGGCTGTCGGTGACACCATTGCTCTTTCTGTGGCTACGCCTCAACACTTGCAGAAAATTGGACTTCTAGAGGACTACGCTGATACAGAGGAAGACAACATTAACGCGCTCATGCAAATCGCGCTGCAGAAGGTATTACGATAGACATCAGCTGTTTCAACAATGCGTGCACTACTTCAGCTGTATTTGTAATGACACATAATTGGTGTACACCAGAGAGGGAGACATCATTGTCAGCATAACGGATAAGACATTGGTCTCTTCCATTTACATTCATTAACTGTTACTTCTATCGAACGTCCTTGGCAAGACACAACTAGAGAGCCGTAAAACGGATGTGTACAAAGTTTGATACCGATCAGTTTTTCAAAACACTCTGGGCACATTTTAATATTGGATTAAATCGGACATTTTACACGAGCCTTAAATTCTTTTTTAAGTGTAACTCGCTAAGTATTTATCAGAGCGTGAAATGTTTCGGATAAAAGTTGTAGAGAAAATGAAGACGCACGATTTATGACCAACGCAGTTATAGGCAAGTCTTACAGTTTTCGACATAATTAAACATAAATTTGTATTTGACAGGTTAATTTAAAAAAAAGTTTCATTTCTTCGTGCGCTTCGCCTGTTTGACACTGAATAACAGATCTGCCCCCATAATTACGGCGATCACTTATCGTCCTGATGAAGGAGACAGCAAGTACCTCTGAAACGTTGGAAAACGTCTATCGGACTTCGCGGCGCTACGGCCCAGTCATCTTTATATTACGAATACGTTCTTCTAATTCTTAAGTCATGTCTTAAAAGAACAACAAGAAACCAAACCTTTGTTTTGGAATTAATTTCAGACTCTGTATAAGTGAGCGTTATGTCGTTGGGAATATTCTGTTAAAATTATTTCCAGTTGTGTCGTTAGTGGAAATATTACCGCCTGACACAGGATAATTAATCTGTTGCTTCTCTTACACAGGTTGCCTTCCTCCCATTTGGCCTTTTGATTGACATGTGGCGGTGGGACGTTTTTAGCGGAAAAGTTAACGAGTCACAATGGAACGCACATTGGTGGAGTCTAAGGTGAGAATAAGCAAGGATAGATTGTTTTGACATTCTGAAGGACAGCGTAAACTGATTACAATGGGCAAGATCACTGAAACATTGCATTGTCGGCCTGAAACCGGCTAATGGCGAAG